TCACATTAAATTTTACTTATAAAATTTTGAAAAAAAAAAACTAACCAAGGTTAAGTGAAAGGAGATGTGTGAATTGATTAGGTGTATGGTGAGCATACACTATAGTTTATGGTGGTGAGCAAAAATGCACCCTATCTGCTACCTCGCAAAACCTTAATCAACCTACAGTACCAACCTTGGGTCTCCATGGTCCCTTGTAAGCTGGATTTGGTATCTTTGGAGCTTTCCACAGACCGTTCTCTTCATCATCCCAGTCTTCGGGCTAATTAGAAGAGGGGAAAACACGAAACTGCTTGATTAAAATTCATAACTTGCCACAAGTATGCATCAAACCCCAGGAGGAAAACACTAAAAATCAAACTAGAAAAGGGGAAGATAATATTACAAAACACAAAGAAGAGTCCAAAATCAAAATGATCAAACAAATGTCGGGTATAGTACAGCTCCGTAACTAATCAACTAACCTCTTTTGCTTTTGGATCTGGAATTTCTCTCGGAATTGAATCATATCCCTGCAATACCAAGATATGCATCAATAGTAGCACGTAAGACATCTACTGAACAGATATGTCTCAGAGACAAGCATTAGGAAGAGACGAAAAAAAGTTCCCATACCTCAGGTTTGATGTGATTAGGATCATCAATGTATTCTCTAAGATCCCAGTCTGCTGGCTGTAATGGGCAAAAAATGATACTTTTAAGTTAAAATACGAAATTGTAAAGAGTTAAATTTTATAACTTAATTATTTTTAAGAAAAGGTTGCTCAAAAGATTTCCTGGAGTTTTGAGAACATTATAATATAGTTAGTTAGAACCCCTTTCTAACTAATCATGTTTTATCTACCTTCTTTGCAGTAACATCTTTTATCTTTCTTGGAGGAAGAATATCCCAATCTGTGTACATGCTTCCAGAATCCTTTTCTCGGTTGTCTATTAGGACACTATAAGTTGCATCAGGCCGAAGAATGAATGTGTAGAAATGAGTCAACTTGTCAGTTTCACACTCTAAGGCCTTCTTGATGGGGTAATTCTGGCCTTGGTAGGAGAGTATGACATGGAGCTTCTTTGTGTCCGTGCCACATATATCGGGGCCAAACATTAAACTACACACAAAAAGTTCAGCAAACATTCAGAATTTTGGAAAAGAGAAGAAGAAAGAACGTCATACATAAACATGCAATCTGGCCTTTTATATGTCGGCAATTTCTATGGTATCAGATACCACCGAAATTCCCCGTATGAAGTATGAACTATACAGAGCAATTTTAGGAACCTCATCATGGCAGTTCAGTCTACAAAATTTAGAAAAGGTGCTCTTTGATTAAGACACGAGTTTCAAATCGCTACTATAAAATGATCATGTGTCATCCAACTGACTACCAAGTGTTGTGGAATGGTGATTGACTAAAAAGAATTTCTACGTGCACAACCTGGCCACCATTCACATACGGTATATATGCACTGACATATGGCTGCATTTGACCACTACGAAACTCTCATCATATGAATAAACTACATCTAGAAAACCGAATGTGCCTGTAATAAGTCCTTTTCAACTACATTGTGTTCTTAAGAATGAAGGACCAGATCATATGAACATGCCTCAAAACATTTCATCCTGCGACGTAGAGAGTTGAAATTCTAACCTGTATGGAGTGTCCCCGCCGAATTTCTTCTGATTAACAAATCCAGACATAAGCTTTATGTAACCGCCGCCACATTCAATTTCCTGCTCAAATTTGATCGAGTATTGGAGGACCAACGTCCTGTTCTTGTTGCTGAACTCCGGTATCTTTGCAGATATGGCAAAATGCTTGGCATCATTAGATGTCTGAATTCCTGCAAGATTTCGTATGCCATGATAAATGAAAACCACAAGTTTAACCACCTTGACTGTTGGTAAGTTATTAGTAAGAAACAAGCAGTGATGAATGAATAATTGGTAATCAGAAGATACCTCTATCATCGTGGTCACCGGCCCACTTTCCGGCTGTATGTTTAAAGGAACCTGCTTTACCTTCACTGCTTTTCCAGTCAGATTTGACCCAACGGCTTCGCCATCCGTCGTCTACTCCACAACAAATCAAGATTAACTGATTAATTTTCCGGTGGAATGAAAGATGAAAGATCAATTCTTGGTCTTACTTGTTAATTTTTTTTGCATGTTGTTCAAACACACAGTCAAGTCAACCAACTAACTGTACAAAAGTTCGCTATTACCAGCTTACTGCGGCCCAAAATTTATTTATTTTTCGAAGAAAAAGAAAATCATAGATATTTTGTCAGAGTCACAGAGAGAGAGAGGAGATAGGGAAACTAGGAAATGAGAGTTAGACAGTTAGCCACAGCATTCAACCAGAACAAAGTTAGCAAAGTAGTAAAAAAGTAAAATCTCAAGCAGAAAGAAAACAGATTGAAGCGAAAGTTGCAAGTGGGAGGAGAGAGAAGGATGGATACATACCGTCGAAGCGCTCCTCGAAAATGATCTCCGAAAGCGAAGAACGAAAGCAAAAGGAGAGCAAGGAGAGTGATAATACTAGCAGAAGCAGCTCATCATGCTTTTGCCGCTTCGCCATATTTGCCTGCGCAAGTGCAAGAATTGCAGTGACAAAAGCCAAAAGCCAAGAGCAGATTGGAAGATAGAGTTTGTATTATTGGTTTACTTATAGCAGGGGATGCAAAAGCTTGCCCCCAAGTCTCCCATGTAATTTCGGGGATGCCCTCCCCTTCCCCTTCCCCTTCCCCTTCCCCTACCCCTTCGAAATGAGAAATGGAAGACTGACTAGTCTGACTTTAGTTTAGTGTTGGAGTGAGTTGGTCGTCATGTGGGGTACAAGTCTGCGTATGCCGTGGAGTTTGGAAGAGACTCTCACCTCCTTCTCTCTTGACTTGGTCTTTTATATGCATTCAACCAATCAGAGAAGAACGATGAGTTGCACCACCCAATCAAAATTCTTGGAATTTAAATCTTACGACATTAATTAATAATTATTATGTATTGTTTTGTCCTAAATTCGATGATGTGAATGATTATATGTTGAATTCCTCGTCGGTGCGCCCAGCCCAGCCGCTGCACAATCACAAATTAATATTTTATAATGAATCTTAATGAACCATTTTAGGTATTGTTCATTTTTAATGTTAAGGATATTTTTGATTAAAAACTAAAGTTTTTTAGAACTTTTCTTTAATTTTCCTTATTTTATATGTATATTATTATTTGATAATGTGATACAAACAGATACTATACATTAAATTAATCTAAGCTGAATACAAACACACTGCTCTAACTAACTTAACTAAACAAGTTTGAATATATAATTAGTCTTTTGTCGTTTCGTTAATACATGGCAGGTTGCATTTCACATACGGTTAGTATTATCCAAAATAAGAGGACTAGACTAGAAGGTGAAGAAATTCGCTAAAACTACAACTGGGAAGATAAGGCTTTGCAATTAATCATGACAGACTGTACAAGTTAGGAGAGCAAGATTTATGGCTTGTTTGGATGATGCTTTTGGAGATTTAAAAACATCCTCTAATAAGTGAAAGCATTTTCATTTAGAAAAATAGTCAATTGGCAATATTTTTAAAGGTGCTTTGGATAAGAAGTAAAAGCACTTAGAGTGGTTTTTTGAGAAGTTTTTTATTTTTTATCTCAAAAGTGTTGCCAAGTGAAAAACCGGGAAGCATTTGGTCCCTTTGATGAAGCTTTTCAACTCCGTAACTACCCCTATTTTTTAAGTTGAAAATTCTACAAAATATCATAATTGTTTTAGACTCTCTGGGACTGTCGACTCGTCAGAGATTTCCGACGGTGACCCTCTTGCAAGCCTCCTTCCCGTCGAATTATTCCCCACCCCAAGATCTCTCTGATTCAACCAGCCCAGTGACATCGGCCTGTGACCCTCACCCCTCGACACCTCTCTCTGGTTGCAGTGATTGCATTGAGATGAACTTGATGCATATCTGGTATGAGGAGAAAGACGAGCTCCTTGGAAAATAATGTCCTTAATTTATCACTACTGAACTGCATTTTTCATTTGGCAGCCGAACACTACTATAGTATTAAAAGCGCTTCTGTGCAATGTAGAAGCACCTATTTAGTTGCTTGTCAAACAACACATTGCTTTTTCATATAAGCCCTACGAACAAGTGCTACTGACAAAAAATACTAGTGAGTAAAAGCGCTTTATCGAGTAAAACCTTCAAACGAGCCGGCACCAAGCCAAGCCAAGCCAAAATGTATAATTGTAAATGTTGTGGAAGAAGAAGGGCATTCCTTTCCTGGTACGTTTGTTGACTCAACATTCAAAGTCATCTCCCAGCCAAAGCCAGTGTAGTCTGCGAGTCTGGGCCACTCACTCACTGTTGCGTAGTGTTGGCCAATAAAAGAGGAGAGAGTGTGGACAGTGGAATAAAGGGGCCGTAATTGAAAGGTAAATGAATGAGACGACGACTTACGTCAAGCATGGACTTTTCAGTCTTCTTCTTCCCCCCTCTATCTTGGTCCTCGGACCATCTTGTGATATTTACTTACATGACACGGCCACACCTGAGCGTTTCATGTCAATGATACAACATGATGAAAGCGGACTTATGGCTTCATTCCTTTCGCCCATTCATTCATTTGCATAAAAACTAGACCGTGTTATGATTGATTGCTAACAACATGGAAGGAAAACTAATGTATCATTATGCCATTGCCTTCTTAGAGGAGTCAATTTAAAGAACTAGAGGAGAAGCAGGCATGCCCAAGACAATAGAATAAAAACTAGAGTGAACAATGTTGATGAATATTAATCAACACCAATCCTAGGATAAAAGCATACACATGCACAACCATGATATTAATTTATACTACATCTACATCCAATGAATATTAGCACAACCATTGAAAGGCAAACCAGCAATATAGTACAAACTAGGTACTCGAGTCGAGGATAAGAGCAAAAGCCACAGATAAACATCAACGATAATGTAATCACATAAGACTGTAATTTTGTTAAGCAATAAACTGGATTGTATTTATTTGAACAAAACATCAATGAAACAATCAAAGAGTTGTTTTCAACACACTTTCCATAAAACTGGAACCGAAACATTCAAGTTTTGAACATACCAAAAATACCACTTGCTTTAAACAGCATTAATAGGAGGAGCAGGAATCCCAAAATGGCACCTTTATAAAATGGAGGGAAACAAGGCGTGAGGATCCAAGAGTTCTAACAGCTAAATCCTTGCAGTGAACAGGAGAAAATTAACAATGGAGCTTCATGCCCTTCCCCTACTTCGCCTGAGGGTGAGAAGAAATAAAGTCCACAGCTTGACCAATTGACTTGATCTTGTCAGCTTCATTATCAGGGATCTCAAATCCAAACTCCTCTTCCAAAGCCATCACAATCTCCACAGAATCTAAACTATCTAACCCCAGATCACTTTCAAAATGAGCATTTGGTGTAACCTACCCAAAAAAGAAAAACAGTGCATAGGAGATTAGATTATTTAAATATAATGAAAACATACTAATAAAATGGCCATACAAACGAAATCAGTATAAAATGTGAACGGAAAGGAACATGTACATAGAATTTCTGAGGTCAGTTGCGTATACATATATATTTGGAAATAAAGAACGTCACATTTATTGTGATTTAAGTTCAAGGTGAAACATGCCATAAATGAAGGTGTGCGTACATTAACATTAGAAAAGAAAAGGGAAAAGAACAGCAGAGGTTTGATAGTCACAACCACATACAGATAAAAGCCAATTCACTTTTTGGAATCTCATATCCCAGCACTGGATGTCACTATCCGTCGGACTTTGGGACATTCACCATATATTGGTTACAACATGTAAGCCCCAACTCAAGCAAAACAATAACAAATACAAATAAGAAGGGGCCACATTGTTGTGGTTCAGACATTAATCCCATAAAGAAACTGATGTAAAAGCAAAATAGAGGAATACATTCAATTCTTTGTGTAAGGTCAAAGAAGAAAGACAAAAAGAATGCTTACGAAATATCAAACATTTACAACTACTAAATAACATGCAAGTACCAGAGATCAAACCCATCTTTATCAACAATGTCAGTCAATATTGTAACATTTGTGATTAAGCATATAATCCTGGAGGGCTATAGTTATCTCAGCCCGCATAGCTATTCTAGTTTAAAGATGAAATATCTGATTCTCGAGGTCACCAGTAATCCTGGAGGACCAAAAACTGCAATTTATAAAGAATATCTATCTGCAAAGCACTGAATGAGAAAACAATATATGATGCAAAAGGTTAGAGCTTTGTGCCACATGGTGGTACCAAAACAACATAACAAAGCTCTATTGAAAAATTTGTGCAAAACTAAAAAGAAAATTTTCTCTGCTTGTGCACTTCAGTTTGTCATAAAAACAATAGTGTGTAAAAACTGAATAATCAATGAGCCGCTGCTGATGCATTGGAAGAACCATCATCCCAAAATGTTTACAAACCCAAATAGCAATATTTCAATCCGCATCCACATATAGGCGTACATTTCATGACCCAACATTTGACATTACCAAAACCCTAATTATTCAATAAAACGGATCTTAGAAAGTACAGAATCAACTCCTCAAACACAAAATGATCTTCTTTTACAACAAAAACAATCAAATAATTACTAGTTCAACCTTGCAATTCATTAGGAAATGGTTTGCATAAAACTTCAATTCCATTTTCTGAGAAAATCGGAGGTTATACCTTGGAAGGATCGACCTTCTGGAAGTTCTTGACGACGGAGACGACACGATCGGTGACCTCAGACTTGTCGAGGAAGGTGCCCCTTACCTCCTCGGAGAAGAGACGGCATCTGATAGCGGCAAAGGGGGATAGGAAGAGAGGGGCGGTGGAGCTAGGGTTCGAAGGCAAGGTTTGAACTTGCACTCTCAGGTGCTTGAGTAGTAAGTTCCTCGCAGCCGCCGCCATTGAGAGACGTTTCTTCACTCGCCTCTACTGCTGCTTGGCTACAGTATACCAGTCGGCTGTTACTGAATGAAGGAATGATACGGGAGGAAGGGGCAAGAGAGAGAGATGGCCTTTTCTGTTCTGTTGGGTGAGACCGCAAGAGAAAGTGCTGAGCCTGAGCCACATTCTGGTGTCAGACGTCGTCGTTTTTGTATAATGTTGAATGGATAAAGTCCAGACCCAAATTAAAGTTGGGTTGGGCCGGAAAGGCAACCGAACAAGTAAGCAGTAGTATAACTGAACCGAACCCGATTTACCGCCAGCAGTAACTACTAACTAGTCTACAAGTATTGTTCCTTCCATCCTTCCATCCTTCCTGGTGTGGTGCAGGGGTGGAATGCTGAAGCGGTGTTGAAAGAAAAGTGAAGATGGCGGTGGTGGTGGTGGTGAATGGTGATGGTCTTCATTTCTCTGTTTCTGTTTGTTTTTCTGGCAGTCAAATTTGCCACACCTGATGGTATGGTATTATTATTCTTCTTTCTTCTTCCCAGTTTCCAAACTCCCCAATATATTAATATTATGAAGGAACATGTATATGTAAATGGGACTGATAGGAGCTCTATCTTATCGTGTTTGGTTTAGCAGCAAGCATGAGCGATGTGAATGGGACTGATAGGATACTCAGATTCAACTGTAAGGTTTAGTAGACAAATTTTGCTCAGCACAAGTATAACATCGAAACTATGTCAGCCGAAAACATACAAATCATATTTAGTATTTACAATTCAAGCATTATGCAGATCATTAAGAATTAATTAATCCCATGCTCTACTTTAATTAGCTACAGTTGCAGTCACTTTCATACTGTATTTGTACTTCAGGTAAGCTTTTATGTACGGCTCCAAATCACCATCCATTACGGAAGTGATATCCGATGTCTCGTGTCCCGTCCTTACGTCCTTGACGAGTTTGTATGGATGGAACACGTAGTTTCTTATTTGTTGGCCCCACTCTGCCTTCACCACGTCTCCTCGTATTTGCTTAATTTCCGACGCCCTTTGTTCCTCGGCAATCACTAGCAGCTTGGCCTTCAACCTGGCCAGAGCCTTGATCTTGTTTGCAAGCTGGGATCTCTCCTCTGCATTGTAGTAGTCAAGAAAATAGAGGTCATCACAAAGCTCGCATACTTCTTTATTATGCTACACAATTCCAAAATGATAGCACAGTAGCTACACACAGCGGCAAAATCAAAACGGAGCCAGAAACTAACCTTCTTCCTTAATCTACAAACAAAATATAAAAATTTGAAAATATTTATTTGATGCAATGACGAGAGAAATAATTTCCATTGGTGAAAACCAACAAAGAAATTATGGGGCTAATGAAACCTGTGCAGCGAACGGTAACACCAGTGGGGATGTGAGTAATCCGGACAGCACTTTCAATTTTGTTCACATTCTGGCCTCCTTTTCCGCCTGCCCTTGAAAAACTTATGTCCAGGTCCTCTTCAGGTAATTCAACTTTCAAAGACTCCTCAGGTAGAAGTGGCATGACGTCAACACCAGAGAAACTTGTCTGCACGTAACATCAAGTTAGAACACACAGTATAGGATATGTTGTGCTAACTCTGTCTCCCTCCAATTCGTCCCCCGCCCCCACCCAACACACACACACTCACACTTTCAGTAGTAATTTTTAAGAAGCTAGTTATGCACCTAACGCTGTTCAACTTAACAAACTTGACGTGTGTCAGCTCTCCACATATGGAAAACCATCTTCCCTCGTAATCAGTTTCTGTAATTAAATGTTCAGTAACTCATAGTTTACCAGAAGGTTCACCCATACCTGGCGGAGACCTTTGGCATTAAAAGGGGACTGCCTTACAATGCGGTGTGTTCCTTTCTCCCCCGACAAATAGCCATAAGCATAACGGCCTTCAACTTCAATTGTCGCCGACTTAATTCCAGCTTCCTCTCCCTGGGATTTCTCAACTACTCGTGTCTTGTATCTTTGCTTTTCTGCCCACCTCACATACATTCTGAGTAACATTTCGGCCCAATCCTGCACTGAGAATTATCAAAGGTTTTATACAAGAAAAACATAAGCATGTAATAAAGAGGCTAACACAACCACGGAACTGAATAGAAGTCCGCACAAAGAATGAATAGTTGATGGTAATGATAAATTCAGTAATTGCTGAAACAAAAGCCTCACTATCCCCATGCAGTATTCTCAAAAGTAGTAACGAGCTGGGACAAACTACTTTTGGCCAGGTATGAATGAGATAGATGTGTCTTAATTTCTAAAAGAAATTCATTCATGAGAAATGCAATATGTTTTATTGTAATGGCGTTACAGCACCTATATATGCATCTCACAGAATCTAAAATTCCCATCGAACTTGGAAGAACCATAAAGAAGTAGTCGCTCTTGCTTCGCACATATGTTCTAATTACCTGCGCATCAGTACCTCCAGCACCGGCTGTAATAAAGATGACAGCACCTTCTTTGTCGTAAGGCCCAGAAAGAAGTTGAGTTAACTCAAACCTATCCATTCCCTTGTTCAATTCCTTGATGATACTGGCAGCCTCTTCAAGAAGTCCATGATCTATGGCGTCCATCTCTTCAGTTAGCTTGACTATTGTTTCTACGTCTTCAACCTGATTTAATGCATTTGATCAACAATGCAATTTAAGAGGAGCTTACTTTCTGATATTCAATATTTGTAAATGAGTTTATACGTATGCAGAGTAAATTAGTAAAAGATCTCCTACTAGATAGTCTGATAGAGGGCATTGTGATATATAAAGAAGATAAGAGTGTCCCGACCAACAAAAACATATAGATTAGAGTGATGTTAACTTTATATATTTATACATGCATTGGCTCCATATTGAACTAATTGATTTAGTCATCTATCCTCTGCTGTACACTATTTCCGTAATCTAAACAAATCTGGCTAGAAGAAATTCTAATGATTTTATTCGGCACTCATATTAAAACCGCCCACTTTATAAATGATTATCATCATATCACACTTCAGCACAACCTATATTATCCAGAAAAACAAAGACGATGCCATGTCACCCCAAAGAAATGATGCGAAAACAATCTTCTAAACAGAATTAAAGAAATTTGGGCATAGACCTGTGATTTAAACTCGTTCAGCAATTTTATCCTGTCTTTGACATCAGTCAGGGCCGAAAGGTTTTCTTGAGCCTTAGCTCGATCATCCCAAAAGGCGGTATCAGCTGCTTTCAACTCTAAATCGGCTACTTCTTGTTCCAACTTGTGCAGACAAGCAGAGTCTCTTATCTCCTTGACGCGTATAGCGGCAGTTTCTACATCCTTTCTTAAGAAATAAAAATCTGTGAGACATAAGAAGAAATTACAACATTGTCACAGATTGATGTGCAAATGAAAGTAGCACCATCCTACACCAAGCATGCTCTCATTCAAATCAAACTTGGAAAACACTCAAAACAGACCTTGCATTGCCCATTCTTTGGCGTCGGTGCTCACTTGGCTCTCCGGCGTCGCCAGTAAAACTGAGCCAAATCAAACATCAACAGTAAGCAATTCGGCATTCATTCTCTACAGCACATAAACAATAAAAATATCAAAAAATAGACAAGTCGAGCATAAAAAGTGTTTTGCTTTCGGTAACGTCCTGTGAAATGCACCACCTTACAACCGTCAAAATCGAATTTTTCAAAGACTAAGCATGAGAAATCAAAGCAAGTAAAAACCAGAAACCCATCAAAAAATTAATGAGATATTTAAAACCAATTGCAAATTTGCAATCACACACTCGCAAAAACGGAAAAATAGAACAAACCCAATATATTATCCCATAAATAAATTGCACCATAAAGCTCAAGGAATGGAAACGCAAAGAGAAAACCTGCGGGACGAAGCGGATAAGAGGTAGAAAGCTTTGTAGATAAAGGGAAAGTGTAGGAGGGTAAACGGCAAGGAGAAAAAGTGGCCTTTTGCAGTAACAGTGGCAGCTTAGTAATTAGAGGCTTCGAGGGGCACAAGATGGCCGTTGAGCTGCACACAGGTCGAAGATGACGCTCCATAGCTGCTGTGTCGCTGATACAACAAGTTCAAGCTCTGCACAAAACCAACATATTTTCATGACTCCATTTGTATGGATAACAAAGAAAACCCGCCTATAGCTTGTACGTTGTGGGTGACGTGTGGTGGTGTTCGGGACCAAATTGCAATAACAAATAAGTCACTTCTTCGGACCCTATACCCATATGAAATAAAAACATTCCAACAAAAAAAAAAAATATCAAGAGAATATCAAACGGGCTCAGACCATCTCCAACCCTTGGGCTAAAAGCCAAATTTTTTAGCCCGGAAAATTTAGTTTTTAGCCCAGAAACATCTTTTCTGCTCCAACCCTTCTACCCTAAAATTTTAGCCCGAAATTATTAAAGAATGAAATTAGCCTAAATTTTTTTCTTAAATCAATTTTTTTTTTAAATAAATATGTAGATTATTGTAAATTAATTTTATGAACATTTTAATCTAAAAAAAATTTTAATTCCGATAAACATTTCGCATTTAGCCCGGGGGGAAAGCTGGGGGGTATTTGGCCCAGAAATAGCATTTGGCATTTAGCCTAAAATTTTAGCATGGGTTGGAGAGTGTTTGGGGGGGTAATTTGGAGAGTAATTTGGCTTTTAGCCCAGGGTTGGAGATGGTCTCAGAAGTAGAAAATGCGAAATGGGCTAAAATTGATTCAGAACCCTATACCCATTAACCTCTTTGGACATCACAAAAAAAGCCCTAAGGACAAAACCGGCATAAAAAATAGTTTTAAAATTAGGGTTTCATCTCGTATATAGCCTCCTTGCCTCGACCTCCAACTCCGACTTTCAGAGACAACTCGCAGCCTCCAGCAAGAAACCATCAAAATGGTACGTTTGTTTTCACCCTTACTTTGTGCGCACATTCTTCACTGGAACTTGTGGTTTTGTTGGCTAAATTTGCATGTACAAATTTGATAAGCGGAGCACTCCAGAAACCATGCTTGTATATATTGAAATTGGCAGTGGAAGGAAATGCATATTTGATACCGAATCTACTAATATACCGTGGTGTGTATCTAATATCATATAAATTATAGGAAAAGAAGAAGTGTGTTCATCTCTTCTTTATCCTCGATTTAGATAGATACAAATTTGATGCAGGTTTGCGCTGTAGATGTGAGCATATCATTACAGTATACTTTGTTTTAGTTTTGAAGATTTTCGGTTATTGGTTTATTGGATTTTGTATTTTTAAGATTTTTCTCAATGCCTCTGGTTTGTTGTAAACTGTTGTACATAGTTTTGTGATTGTTTCTTAATCTCTGGTAGTCTGGTTCTAAAATTCCGTTACTAATTTTATCTAAAATGTGAACCAGAGGGTAATATTTCGAGGTCGCAGAATAGTGTGACTTTCATTTTACTATCGATTTTGTGGTAAATGAAACACGGTTGGTATTTTCATATGAAGCGTCCGACAGTGTTTTGTATAATACTCTTTGTTGGTGTTTCACCCATTGTTCTTGTATCCTTCTACCAGTATTTTATAACAATGTTAAAAAGTAATTTTGCTCATTTGGATGTGCTTTTAAAATGACTGAAAGCGCTTTTGGTGAAAATGTTTTTGGAACTAATCCTTAGTAAAAATGCAAGTAAATTCTGGAAAAGCATTTAAAGTGCTTCTTGGAATAAGCACATAACTGGTGCTTCTTGCAGAAAGAACTTTAAGTGCTTTTGGAATAAGCACATAACTGGTGCTTCTTGCATAAAGCACTTTAAGTGCTTTTGGAACCAAAAAACATTTTCTCTAAAAGCACTTTCAGTCAATTTAAAAGCACATTCAAACGAGTCCGTAGTCGCTAAGAATCTGGATCTGCTATAATTCTGTTCGAGTAATGGATAATAGATGTTGATACATGTGAACATACATGCCTTGTTTAGATGTAAATTTCAGAATGTATATTGATCTATAATGTTTATACTATGTGTGTGCACCAACAGCCGAAGCAGATCCATGAGATTAAGGATTTCCTTCTAACCGCAAGAAGGAAGGATGCCCGCAATGTCAAAATCAAGAGGACCAAGGATGCTGTTAAGTTCAAGGTTCGGTGCTCCAAGTACCTTTACACACTTTGTGTGTTTGATTCCGACAAGGCCAACAAGTTGAAGCAATCTCTTCCTCCAGGTATAAATTTTTGTGATCGCTGGTGTAATTTATTATGGTGGGCAACTCATACTAGTCTGTTCCTATTTTGATGTTGCCATTGTTCATTTTTTGGTTGTGGAGCACGGTGGATTCATTATTTCATCTTGGAGAAGGAGTAGTTTGTGTTGAATCAGGGGACTTTCATCTGTTACTTTTTTTTTTTCTATAACTAATCAATTTTTTAAAATTTTGATTTGTAGGTTTGAACGTTCAGGATCCTTGAACCAGGATTTTGGAGTGGCTTGTCGGCACATTCTAGTGAATGTAGCAATGGAATGAAATTTGTACTTTGAAAGATTTTTATGGCCGGATGATGTTGGTGTTAGATGTTAGAACTCCGAGATGTTTGTGGTTAATGTGTTTTGACTTGAGTTAATTGTTTAGATGTTTTGGTTATGGATCCATCGGGTTTGTGTTTGCTTGATTGCGTTTGCGTTTGGAGTTTACAGCTAACAGTTTTGAAAGGAAATGGAATTGGAAACAGAAATAGAGGTAGCTACCAACATAAACATGTCGTGAGCGAATGGTAAGACGTAGAAGATGAGTAGTAATAGTAATCGTGTGTGCATGCAGTCCAATATCCTGATTGGTAGGTACAAACCTATGCGTCTCTTGTTCAAATTTCGAAATTCCCATTTCTTAAATTTTTGTGATAGATTTGAACTCTTTCCTCTCTTTAATAATAATAAATATAAAAAAATTATATGGTAGATGAGTAGGAAAATTTCATTTGGTATATGCTTCTAGGATGCCATAGTGTGTAATTTTCGTTTGGAATATGCTTCTAAGATGCCATAGTATATAGTATGTAGGACTGGTAGCATTGTCCAACCTCATCCGTCAATGGAGAGGATATAATAATCAAGGTTTTAAATATCGATATTATCAGCGATATTTCACCGATAATATCGTTTTTTTGAGAGAGGGATATTTTCACACGTATCCATCTTATTTTCGTCAATATATCGAGATAATATCAATAATATCGATAATATCGGTAATATCGGGATAACATCGATAAAATAAACATAATAATTCAGTGTGTGTCCGTGTGTGTGTTATGATAAGTTACATAATATAATAATATATATATATATATATATATATAATATAAATCTTCCAAAAGGGCCAACTTTTGACAACTTTTGACAAGACAAAAAGTAGTGGTGGTTGGTTTCATACTCAAAATCGTGTGCCACTTCCAACTCTTTCACATTCGGAGTATCAGATCATCACACATGTATTACACTTTTTCGTTTCTTCTCCCCTTAACCCTTTCAGAGCCTTTCCAAAGCCCTTTCAGAGCTTCAACACAAAGGGTTCCATATTTAAGGTAAGTTTACAAACTTATATTTATATTATTGTAATTTATACAACAACAACAAAATTTGTGTGGACCCGTACATGTGATCTAAGAACCAAATAATACTTGCATGTTAATTTTTTGAAGTAATTACGTAATGTTGTAAATTTATTCCCTAGGATCATTTTAATATGTTTAATGTTATTTATTATTTTATTATTTTATTAATATTAGGTTTTATTATCAAATTGGATTATTATTCATCAATATTAGGTTTTTTTATTATCAAATTGGATTATTATTTATTACTATGTTTAATATTAGGATTATTTTATTATCAAATTGGATTATTATTCATTAATATTAGGTTTTATTATTCCATATTATTTTTATAATTACGTAAATTCTTACAATCATCTTACAATCATTTTCTTTACTTCGTATTTAATTCTTCTGTAGAATAACTTTATTATTTAGGTTTTTTCATATAACCGTCATCACTACTATATTTTTTGACCAAAAAATAATTGCCTAATTTCCATGAAAAATAAATATAGGTACATTTAAGATGTCTAGTGGAGTTACTAAACGTGATCCAGCTTGGGAACATGGAGACCCAATAAACGGAAACAAACATGACACAATTTGCAAATAGTGTGGTCGGGTAATGAAGATTGGCGGAGTGACACAATTTAAGTACCATCTTAGTGGATTAGATCCAGAAAATAATGTCCAACGATGCGATAATGTCCCCCCCCCCCGTGAAGTAGTAACTATGATTATACTCATAACCAACCATTTCCCTACCCTTCATATCCCATTCCTGTTGGGATGGAATCGAGTGACTCATGGAAAGAATCCGAGACTCAATCTTCAAATGATTTTGCTTATGGACAACGTAAACCAATCTCAGATCCATATGGGTGACATGTTAACAATTACATGCAAAACTATTTTGAGGATTTATCATTTGATGACTACTCTTCACAATATACTTATTCTACACATAGAGATGATGAAGATAGTGAAAATTTTGAACCTCGTAGGAACTCTATGTGGTATTATCACTCATGTATATTACCATGCAATGTATAAAGTATAAAATATTGTACTAATTCATTATGTATAAATGATTATGGTGTGTTTAAACTTCTTTAATTAGTTACTACATATTTTCTACACTCACAATGTTTGCCAGCTCGCTATATAATCAACTTAAATCAGTTAAATCCATCATGAAATACATTTCCTTCCAATTTTTTGTGATAAACTAATAGATAATTGACTAAATAAACATCTTACAAAGTTTCAATAAAAAATTTCAAGTTTTTCTTACAATTTCCGTGGTTTTTATTCAATTTTTATTGATATCGATAATATCCCGATATTTCCATCGAAATTTTCCGTATTTTTGGACTACCGATATTTCCGATATCACCGATATTTTAGACCTTGATAATAACTATTGAGTTGCAGTGGCAGTGCCATGCTTGGACCGTTAGGTACAACTATTCAACCAAAAGAAGTAGAGAGAGAGAGAGAGAGAGAGAGAGAGAGAGAGAGAGAGAGAGAGAGAGAGAGAGAGAGAGAGAGAGAGAGAGAGAGAGATGAGTTTAATTGAGACAGAGGAGGAAGAAGGCATAAAACAAATGCAAGAGCTTACTTCCTTCAATATTCACTTGAAGCCATTTTTTAGCTCATTCCCGATAACGGACCCATCCATCATTTCTGCACACAACATGTGAAAGTGAAACTGAGATTAACAAACCAAACTCAAAATTATCCTTGGCTTGAGGCTTGAGTCTTGAGTTAACGTGTTTTACTTCTACAAAAACAAAATCGATTTTACAATTACCAATATACATGCCAGGCCAGTGCTTCTGCCCCTGTTTCGACTATGAACATGACAACCGCACTTCCTCTCAAACGGAGGTGGAGGTGGAGGTGGAGCCGGTGCTGCTGGTGTCGGGCATCGGAGGCTCCATTCTGCACTCCAAGAGGAGGAAGTTGGGCTTCGACACACGGGTCTGGGTCCGGATCTTATTGGCTGACTTGGAGTTCAAGAAGAAGCTCTGGTCTATCTACAATCCCCAAACAGGTTGCTTTCTCTATTTATATATTTTTCGAAACTGAGAACCTTGTTTTGGGTCGGTGGCAATTGGAAAATCAAACCAAAATGCATGCAGTAAAGAGAGACAAGACACTAGACAGACTAGTGTGGACTTTTGTCAATCATCTCCTCTCTCACTGTTTGCTTGCTGGATTCTACTGGGATTGGGAAGAGACCATGCATAACATGGTACTTTCAGTTATTGTTGAGACAGACTAGTGTGGACTTTTGTCAATCATCTCCTCTCTCACTGTTTGCTTGCTGGATTCTACTGGGATTGGGAAGAGACCATGCATAACATGATACTTTCAGTTATTGTTGAGATTTACCATGTCATTTCTAAGACATCTTCACTTGTATTCTACTGGGACGAGACCATGCAAACATGTTTCGACTTTCATCTATCATGTCACGTTTTCATTCAAAATTTAAGAGCCAAGTCAAAATTTTATTTCAAGAGCTATCATTTTCCTTCAAGATTAGTTTGTATGATCCGCTCATAAACATGAAGGAAGCATCAAATCCAACGGCCACCAGGTTGGTTTCCTACTGTTTGTATCGTGGAAGATGGCTAAAACATGTTATTCTAGGGAAATTACATATCAATTTTGCATCTGTTATCATTTTCTTATTTTTCCTTTCATGTTCTAATTCTGTGTAGAATCAGCCTCTTACTAGACTCATTTGTGTTCCCAGGTTATACAGAAACGCTAGACAAAAAAACTGAAATTGTGGTCCCAGATGACGATTACGGCCTGTATGCCATTGATATTCTAGATCCTTGCTGGGTAAGAATGATACTTGTTCCCATGGATATTTTCATAGTTTGGTTATGACATCACTGAATTAGAGCTATTATTATGTTTCTTCATGTTTCCAGTTTGTCAAATTGATACGTTTGAAAGAGGTATACCAGTTCCATGATATGATTGATATGCTTGTCGAGTGTGGGTATAAAAAGGGAACCACTTTGTTTGGATACGGTTATGATTTTCGACAAAGCAATAGGTAACTTTTTTTTCTTTTGGTGGCTAGAGTTTCTATAGTAATTGTATGAAAGCAACCATTTCTGGTATTTGAACTATCACAACAATGTCTGACAATTTGGTTCCTTGTTTCCAATAATCTGACCACCGTGGTTTTTATGTTGGCAGAATTGACAAGTCAATGGAGGGTCTTAAGGTGAAACTGGAAACTGCTTACAAGGCTTCTGGGGGTAGAAAAGTGAATATAATTTCGCATTCAGTGGGTGGACTGCTAGTCACATGCTTTATGTCACTCCATACTGATGTGCGCATACTTTCTCTTGGTGACTAGTTGAAGTTTATGAATTTTCATCGAAATATGCAGAAAATATAAACTCCTCTTCTCACTAAAGGCAAATCGTTCTTCGGCAGGTATTTTCAAAGTACGTGAGTAAATGGATCTGCATAGCTTGCCCTTTTCAAGGTAGTTTCTTCCCTTATGCCATTTGTCTTCGTATTTGGACTACATAATCTTTAATGTATGTCAGCGGTGCTTATTGGAATCTGTCCATTGAATCTTCTCAGGTAGCTAGAAAACCATACTATGCATTCCCTTTCAGCCTCTTTTGGTTAACATCTCTTTAATCTTCTTAGACTGGGAGTCACAGCGTTTGACAATACCACGATATTTATGTTTTCATCCCTGATTGTTGATTATAAATTAAATTCAAATTACAGGTGCACCAGGATGCATCAATGATTCTCTCTTAACTGGATTGCAGTTTGTTGAAGGCTTGGGAAGTTACCTTTTTGTATCAAGGTGGACCATGCACCAGCTGGTAATACGTTAAATTAAGCTAATTTGGCTTCATGACTGTATTTAAACTAGATAATAGGAAAGTTAATTACGCGATCATCTTTCTTGGCAACCTAGTATCTTAAATGGAAGCATGACATGCTGTGAATGAGTCTGTATATATTAGAAAATACAAATGAAAGACTACAAGTGAGAAAATACATGAAGGCTTGAGTTTCTCTGAGAAATGTACCCTTCAGCTGATCTGATCCAATTCAATAAGCTCTAACCGTGTATAAGAAAATCTCCAACATATTTCACAATGGAACCCAGAAATCACATGGTTTAAACACTTGAACACCATAAAGAATTTCTCAATGCCGTTCTTGAAATATGTAATTGACTTGCATACTTATTTTCCTTTTTTAGGAAGTTGGGCGTATCCCTCAAGCCAATCAAAATAAAAAAGAAATTAATGTTCTTTAGCATTTCATCCATAACAAGTATTTGGCTACATTTTTCAGTTCTTACCGTTTTTTATTCTACAAGATGTTGCTATTAGGAAGAACTAAACCTGAATAAATTTGTTTCTCATATAGTTGATTGAGTGTCCATCAATCTATGAGATGTTGGCAAATCCAAAATTTAATTGGAAAAGGCCGCCAGAAATTCAGGTTTGGAGGAACAAATCCACGGATGGGGAAACTTTGGTTGATTTGGAGTCTTATGGCCCAATTGAAAGCATCCCTTTGTTTGAAGAAGCATTGAAATATAATGAGGTACCACTTTTCAGATTTTTCTTGCTACAAAACTATTTCATTTGCTTTGATTATTGGGGCAAGTCTTGCTTTCTCGTGCGCTGTTGTACTGTATTTTGGAAAACAATTTTACATTTAATATAATTAAATCCAGTACTTATCAGAGCTCAAGAAGGATACACTATCTCCCTGCACATTCTGATATCACCATGACTTCTTTCTCTCTTAATCAATAGCCAGAGCTTATGTCAATCTCCTTCAATGCAGCTAAATTATGATGGTGAAACGGTAGCTTTGCCATTTAACCATTCTATTCTCAGATGGGCTGCTGAGACTCGCCAAGTTTTGAACAGTGCTAAACTACCAGATAGCGTCAGCTTCTATAACATATATGGCACATCGTTCGGCACCCCTTTTGATGTTTGGTATGTAAGAGAACTACTTTATGAATTAGGAATACTTAAGGGAATAGAAATCCAAAAAAAGTAGCAGCTGGACCCAAACTTAAATCAAAACAGGAAACATGTGAACAGGCTTTGCAATCCTTGGTATGACTGGTTGCTTAGTTGATACAGAGACCTTTATTATAGTACACAGGCAGAACTAGGTTTGCAATTGACTAGCAGAACTAATTTAAATGGAAATTCTCAGGGTTTGACATTGTAAAATAAAATGGTTTGATGAATATACAATCTAGAAGGTGCACCATTCTGTTCTCTTCATAAGTTGTATCATTTCCCTATCAAGTTATGCAACTGTGAATTTGGTAGTGCATCTGACATATGTATTTACTAATGCAGCTACGGTTCGGAGACAGCTCCAATTGAGGACCTGTCTGAAATATGCCATTCAATAGTGAGTTATTTACTCTTTGTGAAATCTTGAATTTTCAAAATGTTGTGTGTGTAGGTATCCCATGGGTTCAAAGCTTTAAACAGCCTAGATCATATGTCCCTTGATTTCTGGTTGCTTAACTAGTCATTGGTCTGAAGCCTATCATAGTTTAAGAAAGTTGTACACGTGCACCTTTATTTTTGAAAATGTTAGGTCCCACGCTGTTCAACATTATCCAGACTCTGAAGTTATGATCTGCACTATTTTTATTCACCGTTACTCTCCCATTTCTTGTTATTTCCCTTACGTACATTTATACGCATCAACCCTTGACTCTTATTCCCTGTTTTACTTGCACCTCTAACTTCTGATTAATCCAGTTGCTGCTTTATCCAGCTACTAATCAAATAGTAGCATCCAGTTTTGACAAAGATTATGTACCCCTGGGATGTTAATGCTTTTATGACCTGTCCTCTCTATGATTTACACGATTTCTTTCTTTCCAGCCTCGGTATTCTTATGTGGATGGAGATGAAACAGTTCCGGCTGAGTCAGCAAAGGTGCTCTATCCGACCTATGATCCCAGTGTTAATATATATGCTCTCTTCAATAGTTCATGCTAAGTTTTATTTGCAAACTATTATTATGGTTTCAGAATTTGAACGAATTTGTTCGAACTTTCTATCTTGATTACTATCAAACAGGCGGATGGAATTGCTGCAGTGGAAAGAGTAGCAATAGCTGCAAGGCACCGGGAACTATTACGGGACAAAACAGTTTTTCAACATATCCTAAGGTGGTTGGGAGTCGAACAGAAGGTCAGCAGACATTCTAAGACATCCAGAGTTGCAGACGCCTCTTCAAATAAGCGTGCTTGAAAATTGAAGGAAATTCTGTGTTCAAATTATAACTATAATAGCACCTTATAATTGTATTGAATATTGTGTTTTTTAGTGTTATTTGTTATTTGAGTACTATATGTATAATATTCTTAGCGTGCATGTTAATTTCATTGAGTGGTGGCGTGTGATATTGAATTTAAATCACATTTACATACGCTATACTATATATGAATGAATTTTGCCACGGAAAATATGTTAATTTTGCCACGGAAAATATGTTTTGTCGATCTTGTATTCTTGCAATTGGCCTGCAGCTGGCTAGCTACCACTAAGAGCAAGTCCACCGGGAAAAAAATGTCCCAGCCCTCAGTCCATTTGCTCCAGCCCGTGGAGTTGCCTAGCACCCAGCCCATGCCAGGCAACAGCCCAGCACGTTTTGGACTGACCAAGAAGCTGGCCTGTTTCTCAGGCGCGTGCAACACAAGCGCGCAAGGCGCGAGTGGGTTTCAGGCTTTCCTGAAAATGTGTCAGCCCACTTGGGCTCACCGACGTGGCGTTATGATAGCCGTTGGATTTCCAACGGTAAAAAAAATTTAAATTTTACTTTTAAACTGGACCGTCCGATCAAAGATCAACGGTCCAGATTAATTAACTTAATTAAAATTTATTAAAAAATACAGAAAAATTATTAAAAAATACAGAAAATTTAAAAAAAAATTATTTTTTTCTTTCTATAGTTTATCTTATGAGTTTATGTAATTTTATTTTAGTGTGTTTTTTTTTAAGTTTATTTGATGAGTATGTAATTTTATTTCAATGTGTTTTTTTTTTTAAGTTTATTTGAAATTTTATCCAAAATTGGTTAAAAATCATATCCGAAATAAACTTTAAAAAAAAAAAACACACACCAAATAAATGCGCTGGGTGCCAGCGCATTTTTTTAGGGATGGAGATGCTTTGGTCTGTTACTATTCACTGGGGTCTATTACTGTTCACTTGAGTGGATAAATGCGCTGGGTGCTGGCACAAAGTCCTTAGGGGTGGACTTGCTCTAAGTGAAGGTATAGATTGTGTCGTTTTCATTTTCCTTTTTAACCTGAAGGACAAAAAATGAGGCCCCCTCTCCTCCTCGCAAATTTGTAAATTGCAGGTTCTTGCACAAGTCACAGTGGTAAATATACAAATCTTTTACCCGGCTAACTAGTAGTCTAGTAGTGATGATTCCACATAAAAAAAAAAATTATAAATTATAAAAAAAATCTAGTAGTGATGATCAATTAAAGCTGTAAAGGGCTAATTTTGCTGATTTGATGGTGAACCACAATGTCAAGATAACATTACACTTGATCATTTATTAATAATAAGAACAAGCGACGGTAGCAGTATTGTAAATAAGTTAAAGTTTGAAGACGGATGTAGTATTATAAAATAAGTTGAAGTTTCGTGGTGCAGGCAATTGTTTCTTAAGAAACGGTCGGTTATGAAAAAATGACTCCACCAATAGGTCAACTTATTTATGCCACCAGCTCCAGACTAACTTATATACAATAATGTCACTGCCTCTTATTTTTGTCCTTATTATTAATAAAAAAAAATTATTAAAAATGTTGTGGAAGGGCCGTTACCAAGAGAGAGAAGAAGGGAATGAAAATAGAAAAGGTGCTGAACCTCTTTTGTCTTTTCAGTCCCTCACTAGTGGCTCAGCCCCCTTTTGTTGATTCTCTAATGTCCCACAAAGCTATAGACTCTTCCACTCATATATTTAAATCTACTCCTTAAGTTTTTAGCTTTTATATTAGAATACAAATTTATAATTCAAGATGATTCAGTGATTTGATTCTTATGATAATTATTCGATATTCATATAGTTACAAAAGTATAAACAAAAGGATGGAATTACATTATAAATGCTCATGCCTACTCCATAAATATAATACATACCAAGTATTATTCAAAATTTGAGTTCAGTTACCGTATCAGTAGGTATAGCCTCAGACACTCTATAAGACAAAGTGTATTGTCTAACCTTCGCACTTTCCGGCAGTACCTATCTTGTCCTGCTTGACTGATGTCTGTCTCGGATCTTATCGAATGTAAATTAGCCTTGTTTTTTCGACGAGTTTTTGTTTATGTATTTATTTTCTGTATAGTCATCTCGACGGATAATAAAATATCAGTATATAAATTTGCTGGATGTGTGCGCTCTTTAACTCTCTCTTCGTAACCTAGTAGTTCTAAACGAGATCAGTTAAGTTTTGTGTATACAGATAAACCAGATCACTTCTACTGCTCAATTATGAGTTTGTATTATTATAACAATGATTAAGGTTCTACAAGTCATAAAGGTGATGGAACAATGCGTAGGCTCAGACGAATAACTACAACGAATGAGAACGTACCCTATTCTGTGGAAAGGTGACAGCCGCACGGAGCAATCCTAGATAAGCATCTATCCCAATTGAATGAAGTGCCACTGTGTGATATTTGGTGTGTGCCTTCCCTATAGTGTATTCAATGTACTTCTAAATTAAAGTATTTGTGAAAGCAAATTATCTTAATTGACATACCTTAGCCAATATTTGTAATCACTTCACTTAACTCGGGGTGGGCAAATTGTCACGTACAACTACACATCGACCTATCGTCCAACTTGAGACTGGACAAAGTAATATCTATTAGATACACAGAAGAGAGCTGAGAATGGAAAATTCTTAAATGTTAGTTAAAACAATATAAACATCAAGTCTCTACTTGTTCTAATTAACTATTATAATAAATAATCATTGGTCATTCTGTTAAGAGCTGGATGCTTCTCAATATATTAATTATTACTCACTCGAGACAAGCCAGAGCTCGATATAAATAATAATTGCCCACACTATGCCTAAATTACAGTATCTGATGAGTAAGAGAGGAGCAAAAAGAATGCTCATAACTCTGTGCCTCGGTGTCTCTCCTAGTCTTTTCCTTAAAATTATGTCACAATTTAACCCAGAGACTACTTTACATATCCCATATGACCTTAATGATAGATAGTGCTAAATGTCTATACCCATGAAAGTTATGCAAATCTCTTCAATATGACTTGACAGAGAATATAAACCGAGATGAGTCTTATGTTAAATCTTTAGTTTATATTCTTAAGTGAATTATTTTATTATATAAATTGTTCTCTCAACAGCTAGTACTTGTTTAAACAAACAATGGATGTCTTTGTTTGAATTAATCAGTATAATTACTCTAAAACTTGATTGGTATTAAACACTTTGAGTACTCAGTTTTGTAATTATAAAATATAAATATAATTGATTTGTTATTATTTTAAATTATTAAAAAAAGTTTTAAATTACTGGCCAAATGCTGATTTTTTTTTTATCCCGCGTTCTTTTTGGATTTCTATTCTCTTCCTTCTGTAATGGTCTAAATCATTCGTAGTAGTGAGTGTGTCGATTGAAAGAATGTATCTGAGAAAGCGGATTGTGTCGAGGAATGAAACGTACTAGAGATGGTGTCACTCTCAGTCTATCGTTCTCGTTCCATAGCACACCTTCGCCCACTTTATTTATATTCATTTTTCATTTCTTCTTCTCTCTGTTCCACTTCTGCACCCTACCTCTTATATATTCAACATTTTGATATTATACTATTTTTATCGTTTGTTGATCGTTTATTTATTTTATTAATTTATTATTTATCTAATGAATTATCTTTCTTTTTCTATATAATATACAATCGTTAAGTTTCTCTCAGAAGAGGATTCATAAAAAATTTTCGATATCCCAGATGCAGGATCAACACGAGTTATTTATTTATTTACTGGACTAATGGTTTGATGAACGTTCTCGGATGTGAATATGACCATATGCATTATGAAATATGATGTGACAGCCAAGAAATATGTTTACAGGCAAAAGAAGCGAGACTATGGAAAATGCATTATAACCCCAGGCGCACTCTCGCCAACCATTCTCCGATCTTCCCGAGAGTAAAAGGTAGACGAAGATTTGGAAGGCCATCTCTGAGTGAGAGAACCTGATTGAATTATGTTAGAAGAGATCTATATTGTATTTTAGAAGGAAGATATATAAGTATAGGAATCGGATCCTTCCTGAGCCAAAATATAAAATAGAGGTGCTAAAGTTTAAAATAATATTCTGATTCTTGCGACATAAAACGGTTAAGATCTCTGTACCTTTCTCAAATAATAATATTGAATACTATATTTGATTATTAGGAATCTGTCAGATATTGGATAAAATATCACATCAGAATTGGCGTGCAATTAAAATCTATGATGAATCGATCTCCGGATTATATACCACTCATTTTCACCAGTACAGAAGAATTATTTAGTTTACGGAGTGCCATTCCGTCGGTTCCATATGAGTGAGGTGACGGCCTCTGATCTCCCTACGGTACACGTATGAGTAAGCAACATTCCATAGCACCAGCAGCACACTGCAGGTGCTAGTGGTTTCATACTTGACAGTCTATGTAGTTAGACCCCTTCGACATGATCTGCAGATATATCTGGTACCTCCACTCTGTAGAAACAACTCGAAGTATTGCCATACTTACCAAAATGGGATATGATGCTAAATGTGATACAAAATTTTAAGATTGAAAGTAGATCTCTCTCATCATTTAAACTGAAACTAGAGAATACGTTGATACTAAATCTAGCCATCTGAAATTTAATTTAACGTGTAACTTAGAATCCAATCATCAAATCAAGATGAACGCTCTATCTAATATGATTGTCACATAAATACATTTAGTTTAGATAATTAGTTATTGTGCTCGCTGATCATATCTCAATTAATATTTCACCTTATTTAGATCTGCTAAAAGTAACCAGTTGAATATTATCGTATAATGTTACATGATTAGAAGGATATAGTAGAAGTATTTTATCATTTCTACCTCCATTAACGGAGGATATATTCATACGGTACCCCTAATTGCTCAATGTACGATAGGCGATCTATTTACGCCCTCACATTACTATCTATTCTAATTATTTTACACAATTTATTATGATAAATTTTTTGTTTTATTCTTTATTCTCTAAGATTAATTTAAATTACTTTAAAAGGTAATATAAGGTAGTGTCTACGACTTTATTTAGAGGAATATCCAAACACAATATTAATCTCGTGTCGACTATGACGACTTTATTTTGTTCAACTCAACTGACATATTCATAGCATACTAAGAGGAAATTATAACAGAGTAGACTAACAGTGTTCTT